TAGAAACAAGGAGGTGATCATAATGTTATGCCTGATCGGTGTATATTGGTTGTCCACTGCTGTTTTCTTTGGCTCTTTTCCAGGTTGTTTGCTATGTTCACTAGTAAATCAGTGTTTCTTAATTTTGTACCTCACTTAATGTACTGTAAAACTGTACCATTGAATTTGACAAACTTAGAGGGCGATTCCATGGATTTTTGTACATTTATGCATAATTAAATCACTGAGATTTAAACAGAGTCATTCAGAGTGGTTTGGTGTTAAATGCTCCGTTCTAGAAAAACTGAACTGTTCACAGTGGTGGTCATAGGAACCAGACGTCTGAAGAGTTTAATGCCTCTAAAAACTTTTGAGTTGCTACATTGCTACACTGAGACAACATTTTGACCTAAAATGTATTTTTTAATGCACATTCATAGCAGAGAGATAAATGCAAGGGGTTGTAAAGCCACATAGGCAACGTTTACACAGCAGGTAAAAGTGTCCCAAATCTGATTTTCTCACCAAATCTGTTTTTTTTGTTTGGCTGTTCACATTATCTTTTAAAGGTGATCTGTGTGCGACATCAGTCTGAACAGATCAGCTCCTAAACTTTTCAGACTGAGTCGCATTGCCGCAGATCGGATATGTATCGGATTTCAGTACCACATATGAAAGCGTCTCAAATCGGAATTGAAAATGTCAGATTCAATGCGTTTTTGCTTATTTTTTCAGATTTAGCACTATTTTACCATCATTAGCACTATATATAAAACTCAAGACATGTGTGGGTTCACTGGTGGTTTTGGACACTAAATAAAATGGATATATTTGTGTTATAAAGAATAGATTGATTTATTCTGAATGTTCGGCCTCCTGATGGCCTGTTTTACTAGCATTGACAGTAATTTAGTTCTCAGATTCAGATTTTAGATTCAAATACCACATGTAGAGTCAACTCTAGGCCTGTTGTGCTGTGAATACACAAGAAACGACTTTACAAAACACATCCAATTATGTTTAGAGCTCTGAAATGGGGGACAGTGAGTAAAAATGAATAAATTATTCCTTTATGGTTCAGTCAAGATTGATATAAATAATCTTGGATTAAAGCTGATATCGATTCAAGGGGAATTCCACTAATTTTTCAAAATTTTCTTCATGTACCTCTCTGCCATGAATAGATTTTTAAAAAAATATGCTTTAGGAAAAAACTTTATCATAAACCATCATAAAACTATGTCAGGCATCAGGCAGTGAATTCATAACCATTTGATGCAGTAACTTTCTGTGAGGGAGCTTTTAGAGGTGGATGTCTGGTTCCTATCACCACCACTGTGAACAGGTCTGACTCTAAGTTTCTCTTGTACGGAGCATTTCACACCAAACCACTCTGAATGACTCTGTTTACATCTTAATGACTAAATTATACAGACATTTTAAAAACTGGGGTTGAATCGCCCTTTAATTTCATAGTCATTATTAGTTGTTGTTGTCATATCAAAACCTCTTAACTATTGTTTTATCGACACCATTGGTAAACACCAGCTGTCCTTTCCACTGTTTGGTGATAAATGGGCTGTTAGAAATGAAAAAACCCTCAAACGTCACAAACATTTCTTTCCTTCATCTAAAAAAGTTACGAGGTTTTGTTGCCACAGCGACAACATCCTAATTAAAATGAGTGCAGTTGACTGCTGCTGTGTTTACTAAAGTCCTGCTCACTGTGTTTGTGTGTTTATATGTGTGTGTTTGTGTGTGTGTGTGTGTTGAGGTTGCATGGCAGCGTGGTCTGATCCGTGTGTCTCTGTGTGTCCTCTCTCTCCTGCAGTCACGCCCGAGGCCATCGGCTTCCTGTCTGCGGTCGGCGTCTTCGTCGTGCTGCTGGCCATCCTCTTCCTCTTCATCAACAAGAAGCTGTGCTTTGCCCGCGTGGGGGGGCTGCCCTGCTTCGAGCATTCTGGACGGCGCAAGCGCAAAGACCGGGCTGGCATCCATCAGGGCCTGGGTGAGTGTACAACTACTCAAACATCAGGATCTTCTCTCAAACATTTTGGCACAAAACTAACTCCATATACAACTTCAAAAAAAAGCACTGAAACAAACTTGTTGTGGAGTCCGGGGGCGTCGCCTGGCCTGGACCTCCAGAGCTACGGTTTCACCTCGGCTCGTTTGCACATTGTTTTCATCGTCCGTGGTTTCGTTGAGGGACACATTCACCCACTCCTCAAACTCAGAGAGAGAGAGAGAGAGAGAGAGAACCAAGGATGGATTGAATGCAGCAGTGCCTGAAATCCCTGAAAAACAGGCAAATCTACTACACAGTAAAACAAAATTTCAAGTTCATTGAATATCAAATAGCAAGTTAACAGATATACATGATTATACATATATATAATTGTAAATATATATAATTGTGTATATATATATATATATATATACATATATATATTTTTTTATTTTTTATGGCGGCCAGGTTGCATATTTTTTAGGTTAAAATTCCAAATGAGTTTTTACTGGGTACATAAACAAATCACTATTTGAAAACCACCCCAACTGAGCACGATGCTGCCCTTGAAAAAATGTTCACCTGATGTTTTGTCAGGGCCTGTTGGACTCGGGTCAGGTCGCCAACAATCACATTTGTGCCGCCAGTCTGAACAAGGCCTTTGTTTCCATCCTCTCTGTCAGTCTAAAAAGCAGTGGTGGACAGTAACTAAGTAAATGTAATTCGTTACTGCACTTAAGTAGTTTTTTCGTGTATCTGTATCTTTACTGAAGTCTTTCCATTTTGGGCAACTTTTTACTTTCACTCCACTACATTTCAAAGTAAATATCTCACTTTTTACTCCACTACATTATGAGAAATCTGTCGTTCCTTTTGGTTTATGTTTGTATAAAAACATAACATGTCAAAACGAAAGAAGCGCGAAGCAAAAACACCAATCAGGGCACAGCGGTCACTTTGTGTTGAGCTTGTTTTGACCTGTTGGTCATACCGACCCAGTGCAGCACACGGTTCAACATCAGCGCAGCAGCGTAAAATTCTGGGAGAGTCTATTCAACATAAATGATGAACTAACCTAACTTTGTGTAAATAGACCACAATATAGAAATATGTACACATATGCAGTTGTGACTGACGTGTCTTTTTCTGAATTTATACAAACATTATTTCATTTTATAGTAAATTAGTTTAGGCTAGTTTATGTTTATGAACAGAGACCTACAGATGCAGTTTAGTGAAGGAAACTCATTTGTGAACCTGAGTTTAAAGGTTTTATTAAACTTAAACTTGTAACTAAGCTGCAAATAAATCTTAAACTGAAACTTTGCTTGTTTGTAAAAAGTTATTTCAGAGCCACTCAGTTCTACCTGATGGAAACTGTTTGCCCTCAGTGTTTTGTGCTTATGATAATTTTAATAGACATCAGCGTCACTAATTAATGACTCTATTAAAAGACTGGTTTACCAAGAGTGACACTGCAGCATTTTCACCTAAAATGAGTTAATGAAGCGAGTCTTGTTACAAAAATGATAATAGAACATTATAGTCATGATTAAACTTTTAGTACTTTACTTTCGATACTTAAGTACATTTGAAGGCAATACTTTTGTACTTTTACTCGAGTGGAGGTCTAAAGGGAGGAGCTTCTACTTTTACTGCAGTAATATTTTACCTTGGGTATCTCTACTTTAACTCAGGTACATGATTTGTGTACTTCGTCCATCACTGCTAAAAAGCGAGATCCCACAAGCTGATTATAAAGACAGCTTCAAGTATACAGTATTACTTTACATTCACAAACACATTATATCATCAACATTTTTCAACTAATCTCTAGATAATGACTATTTGTGATGGAAACATTTGAATTCATAGAAAATACAACCCACTAGAAACTTTCAGTATTTTTATTGCTGTCCAGAGTGAGGAGATGTGAGGACACTGTGCAAACTGCACGCTTAAATTGTTAATGTGTAAACAAATACAAAACACAGGTTGCAAGATTACTTCTACCACTGTTTTTAGCTATTTTTATGTTTATTTTATGTTTTTATAGATTAAAGTGAGTCAGACCACATAATTAAGTCTATATGACCTTACTTAAGATGTGGTTTTACCGCCTGTACATAACACTATAGAGCAGAGGCAGCTTTCATGTTATTTCTCTTATGTACACATACAGTGTGGAAACCCGAAACTCTGTCATTGGTTATGTAGTGCGACACACATCTAACACGCACTCTGTGTAAAGAGAGGGAAGTGCCCTGCTGTGGTATTTCTAGCTTGCGCACCTCCTTTAGTAAACAGCGGTCAGTCAGTCAGTCAGTCTGTGCATTAGAGAGCTTCTGGGCTACATCTGTCACTCTCTCTGGAATACGGCCTTGTGAGGACACAGGAGCATCTTCTCCCCAACACCATCGTCCAGAATCTGTGGATGGATGTGATTGTAGGCAAGAATGGAGCATGTGGTCTTTTTATATGAATTATTTCTCAAGAAGTGGAGAAATTATGTGGAAAAAGTGCAGATTGTAAGCTTTCAGTCTGTACCACATTTGTGTTTGTAAGTAGAGGAGGAGATATTTTATTATGATTTGAATTTGACGAAACAGTGTACACTCTTCTTGTGTTTTTGGCACGTTTTTGTCATTTTTTGGTGGAAAAAGACTCAATCCTGTTATTACAGAGTTGAAATTGAATGTAAATGCTGTCAACTGTGTACATATTCACTTATTTACATTCAAAGAATTATGTGACGTCTATTGAACTCAGAGCAAAATGACAGAATAACTGTTGACTAAATAGCTAAATAGTTGCTAGCGCAGGTGTGTGAGACGAGTATTGCTCCAGGGTCGAAGTTAGCTAGCATTAACTAGCTAAAGTTAGTTTTAACCCATATGCCTGGTATCAAATGTTTAGCTGGATGTTACAAATAGCATAACAGAAATGTAGAAACACATACATCTAACTTCCCTTTTGAAATCTCAAAAAGAAGCTTAGTCTACTGGCTCCACCCTTTCCCGCTACATTTAGCTACATGCAACTGTTAAGTGCACCGTCTTTTTTCCGGGAGGTATTAATTGGACACTACATTCCACTGTGTTTCCACTTGCACTGAAAGTGGCTAAGACATTTACTCAGTTGATGCAGCAACCCAGTTCTTTGGTTATCCAGTATCAGCCAAGATGGCAGACTCCTCTCCATCAGGAGCTACTGCGATTTCTGCCTGGTTCTCTCAACTCTCAGATGCAATAAAAGACTCTTTTCTAAGCCTTGGCCCCAAACCGACCTCCAGCCAAGGGCCGGATAGTGGGGAGGTCACAGCAGAAAGCGGATCGCACCTGGATGCATCCTCCATGGAGCCTGAGGAGAGGCTTCAGGCCCTCCACACCCAGCTGGCCTTGCGAGGCCTGGACATTGGGTCTGAGGCTGGCCGTTTGGAGCGTCTGACGCCCATCAGTGAGGAGGCAGAAGAGCTGGAAAGTAAGAGAGGTGATTCAAGTTCACACCGCTGCAGCACTGGTGAGAACTCGGTCAGCGGCTTGTTAGGCCTTAAAGCAGCAGTTTTGGCAGAAAATCTCATTTGCACATTTTTCCTGTTATCCTAAATGCGGCTGATCATGTTTGGTGTCTGAATGTTGCTTCTTTAGTTTAGATCTACAAGGCTAATGTGAAGTAAGAGTGCAGTGTTCCGTACAGCACTTCGGCACTTCTCGTGTTTCAGTAGGTATTGCGGAAATACCCGAAGACATATAGGATGTAATCATTGGTTGGACTCTGCAAAATCTGCCTAGCAACCAAAATGCATTTTGAAAAAAAACATCATCTCTGTCATCAGTTTGTGCCGTCAGTATTCCGTACCCCAGCTTCCATAGAAGGAGCGGTTTTCCGTACGGTGGTTTCCTGCATTTTATTTTAAGTTTCATGAAATTTAATGGATAAAAATTGCCATTAACTGATTATACATTAAAAAAAATTAATTATTATAAACAATATGTTTAATGAATGAGGCGACCATGGAAAAAAGCCTAGTAAAGTAAGTCAGTGGTGTGAGGCCATGGAGCTGCAAGGACTCTACGAAGGTCACTTTGCTGATGGTGTAAACTTAGATTAACAACTCAGTATTAAACATACTGTGTTTCATAGTAATAATCTGTTGTTTAATATTCGCTGCAGTGTCAATTACGATGTTAAAACATGCTACAATCCGTATCACTGGCCGTGAAAGCTTTCCCTCCCTATTCACATTAGCATCCCTCTTTTTCCCCACCTGCCATTTTCGTGTCGTGCTGGGACGTGTAGTCACTATTTACACAGATTTCATATCCAAACTCAGCTTAGATGGTCTTGCCAACTGTTTATATGCCAATGTCTCAGATGTATCGTGGATAAATAACAAGAAAGTTGTTTCATAACACAAATAGGAAAAGTTGCAAGTGTACGGAAAACTGTGCTCTTATGTGAGCTAACAAGTAATGGGGGCTAATATTCAACAATTAGCATTGTGCAAATACCTCTCTTCAAAGGGTATTTGTGTGGTTAATCAACTTGCTTATAAGGTTTCTGAGACTGTATCGCGTTTATTAAAAAAAAACACAAAATTTGGACAGTTTTCAGGCTTTAATAGCTCTGCTACATACTTTTGTCTATGTTTAATAACAGTGTGTCATACAGTGTCAGAAACCATATAGGCTAGTCTGTTAGAGATACTGAGCTACTCCGCTCGGTTTGAGTGTGATGGTTTAGAGATTTAATGCTAACGATGCTAATTTGTGGGCTATAAGCTTCCATTACCTGTTAGCTACATTAGCTACATTAGCCTTGTAGCTCCATTGCAAAACTAAAGAAGCAAACATGGCTGATTACTGCATTTGGGTAAGGAGGGAATTTGTGTACGTATGATTCTGTTCTGAACTATCACTTTAAATCCCTCTTCCTGTGGGTTGCACTTTCCTTTCTGTCTAAAGCTGAATGTTTCCGCTGTGTGCTCTTGTTTTTGAGGCAGCTAAAGCTCGTGCGCTTCTTCGGCTGAGAGCTGGAATGGTTTTATGGTTGGGAGATCAGTGTCAACTGTTCTGGCCTATTTTCTCGTTTTGGGGATTTAAGATTTAATGAGTGGTTGTGTATGTTTGAAATATCATTCGGGCCAATGCACACCCGTCACACATACACGCACCGGTTTGCTGATAACATTTACATTGTGTCATTTGGGAGGCGCTCTTATTCAGAGCGACTTAAAAAAAATGTGCAAACAGCCAATGGCAAACAGAATCTGAAAGGACTTATAACCAAGAAGACAGGACTAATAAGCTCTGTTGGATTAGTTTTAACTGTGGAGGTTCTGTTATATACATGGCTACTAATCCAGTATGAATTAATGTTGTGTGTATATTAGACAGCCTCACAGTAATAGCTGTGCACTGAATTTAATCCAGTATGAATCTGCAGTGTGTAGTTTTACAGTCTGACAGTAATAATTGTGGAGCGATTTTAATCCAGTATGAATCTGCAGTGTAAATGGTTCTCTGTAACTGACTGAACCTGGAGTCTTATGATGTCAAGTCAGTGCTTGAGTATTGGCTAACAGGAGAGTTAGCTTACTAGTAGCATAAGTGTAGTTTATTACTTAACAACCTAATAACTCAAACAACAAGCACATTTGAGGGGGAAATGTATGCAGGATAAAACATGTCAGTTTTAGTCAGTTAACTACAGGGTGTGACAGCGGAGACTTTCAAAAACACCAATCACTGTTTCCATAGAGGAAAATGGTTCAGTGTTCATGCTAATGGCAAACTGTAAGATGACAGCACCTCAGCGGTCTGTAGTACAATATAGCAACACCTTAGCCTCATGCTAACATTCTGCTAACATGGTCCCTGTTGTGCAGTCAGGATTTGTACGTACGTGTGTGTTTGTGTGTACGTGTGTGTGTGTGTGTGTGTGTGTGTGTTTACTTTGCTGTGGGTCTGGTTATAATGAGTAAACTGATATGCAGAGAGAACACCCACCCTCACAAAACAAACAGCCGGCTCAATACTCACAGAGCAAACACACACACTGTCCCCTACAACACACACACACACACACACACACACACACACACACACACACACACACATAATCTCATGTATCTCAGGGAACATCCCTTGTTTGAATGCGTGCACACTTGCACACCCTCACGTCACTCTGTTTGACTCACTTTTTGACGTATGTGTCTGTGTCCATGTGTGTTTGTGTGAATTTGTGTGAGTATATGTGTGTGTGTGTGTGTGTGTGTGCATGAGTTTGAATGATGTGTGTAACTATATGTGTCAGTGTCTGAGCGTGTCCTGGTAAAGCACTTATAATGAGGGCATTGCTGTTCTTTTTTCCCACTGTAACAGAATAATTCTGTGAAATGTCAAATTTACAAAAACTCCACTGACCCCAGATATACTCGATCAGCCAGGATGTGTTTGGTGTCCACATTTTGCTTCTTCTGGAGCTAACAGTGCTAATTCAAGAGCTAGAATGAAATAGTCACTCAAAACTTTTCTGTTAATACATCACCATCCATCGTCAGTAGGGTTTCACAGACGTGTCAGTGTGGTTTATGGTGACTTACTGTAAAATATAACAATTTCACCGTGTAGCTGAACACTAAGGACCTCACGATTCGATTCGACTATGATTCCGAGGGCTGCGATGCGATTATAAAACGATTATCGATGCATCTTGATTTCAGCTTCTCTTTCTAATTTTCCCGTTCCACCTTAAATGGTGCCGCATTTACATTCTGCCGCCTCAGGCAGAATTTAAGGTGGAACAGGAGAAGTGACTTCAGCTTGAAAATGGGTTATTTTATATGTTCTTCACAGAAAATAAGCAAAGGCCAAGAATCTGAGGCTGAAATAATAATAATATCGTTATATAATATCTTTTGGTAAACATTGAAAATGTGTCCCACAGACCCCAACACCACACAAGGGTTAAATCCCATTAGGAAATCCTCAAGTGGGTCTGTAAATCACCCACCCAAATCAGTCCCAGAACAGCTGTTAGACCATTACATCTTTTGCACTGTGATATCAACCCAGGAATCACTAATAGACTTGTTTAAGTGGTTTCTGACACTGCATCATATACAGTTATGTATAAAGTCGGATAAAAGTACAGACAAAATTCAGGAATCATGATAGCTGCTGTTACTGTTTGGACGCCAAACATGTCTCTATATTTGAAGGTAAATTTGTAGAAATTGGACTTTTGACCAAACCGTTTCTCTAATTCTAATGGAAACATGAAAATAATGACACCCTAAACATGCTACAGGGCAGATTAGTGTCTCAGATGTGCTACACAGCGCTATGTAGACTTGCATTTCAGATGTGGTTTTGGTGAAATTAGATGTTTGCTTTTAGATTGTGAATAATTTTGTGAACAAACCATGTTATGTGGCCGGTTTGGAGTGCATGGCTTGGCCCCACTTGTTAAAAGCCACTTGAGGAAGCTGGTTAAAAGAAAATGAAGGTGGCACTTTCACCAATCAGTCAACAGGCTGCTCAGCCACTGAGCGCAGGGCAGGGTTGCCGCGGCAACCGAACATTTGTGCGGTAAAAAGAGAAGGACGCGGGCGAAAAACACTTGAGTGTGAGGAACGAGTAACCATGGCGACCACTGCTGCTCAATGCAGAGCTGCTTTGATTTGTTTGTTTTTGTGTGTGTATGTAGGCAATGAAATGGAAAAAGTAATGCACTTAATTTACTTGAATTTACTTCACATGTGTACATTATTTCAAATATTTTATATCGAGGCAGTTGTGGTGAAAAGTAAGTAAACTGAAAGGCAAGACTGAATTGATATATTTTGTTCTTGTGGAAATGATGGACACATTTGAATCAAGTATAAATGTAACGCATTTGTTTTTCAGTGTAATTACAATATTTTTACGTTTTATTTTTCTGGATTTCTCTCTTTTTTCTCACTCTCCTTTCTTCCTCTCCTCTACCTGTTCTCCTTTCTCTTTTATTACCCCCATCAGCCTGTTACCTCATTTCCTCATAGACGTTCAGTGACCTCAGATCCCTCAATTTGACCTCTGCCCGGACCTTTCCCCTGTGTTTGTGTAGTAAACAGTTACGGAGATGATGGTGAGGTGACCAGCTCCTCGGACAGTGAGGACGAGATCGTGAAGCGCTTCGAAATCTCCGTCTCTCGATCACAGAGCTTCCGCTCTGGAGTCGCGGAGGCTGAGGCCCAAAGCACACCTGGGCGACACCACAAATTCAAACGACTCCTGCCAGACCAGGAAGAGGGCAGCACCGAGCCTTCAGACTTCGAAGGTATATGCACACTCACACACATGCAATGTTGAGATGTGGGTTCATATTATGGTATTATGTAAGAAAAAATTTGGGGCCCTGTGCAAAACGTGAATAAAAACAGAATGCAATGATGTGCAAATCATTAAACCCCATATTTAACTGAAAATAGTACAAAGACAACATATGAAATGTTGAAACTGAGAAATTAAATTGTTTTTTGAAAAATATATGCCTGTTTTGAATTTAATGCCAGCAACACATTTCAAAAAAGTTGGGACAGGGGCCTGTTTACCACTGTGTTTCATCACCTCTTCTTTTAACAACACTCTGTAAGCATTTGGGACCTGAGGAGACACTGCTGTAGTTTAGAAAGTGAAATGTTTTCCATTTTTGTTTGATACAGGATTTCAGCTGCTCAACAGTTCAGGGTCTCTTTTGTTGTATTTTTCATTTCATAATGCGCCACATGTTCTCAGTGGTGACAGATCTGGACTGCAGACAGGCCAGTTTGGCACCCGGACTTTTTTGCTTTGGAGCCATGCTGTTTTAATACATGCAGAATGTGGTTTGTCATTGTCTTGCTGAAATAATCAAGGCCTTCCCTGAATAAGACGTCATCTGGATGGCAGCATATGTTGCTAAAACATGTATATATCATTCAGCATTAATGGTGCCTTCACAGATGTGCACATCACCCATGCCATATACACTAATCCTCCCCTATACCATCATGAATACTGGCTTTTGAACTGTGCACTGATTACAAGCTGAGTGGTCTTTAGCCCGGAGGACAGTTTACATGATTTCCAAAAAGAATTTCAAATTTTGATTCGTCGGACCAGAGGACACTTTTTCACTTCACTTAAGTCCATCTTAAATGAGCTCTGGCCCAGAGAAGGTGGCGGCGTTTCTGGTTCTTGTTTATATATGGTTTCTTCTTTGAATGGTAGAGTTTTAACTTGCATTTGTAAATGCAGTGATGAACTGTGCTCACATACAGTGGTTTTCAGTAGATTTTCTGAGCCCATGCCGTGACTTCCACTGCAGAATCTTGTCTGTTTTAATGCAGTGCCGCCTGAGAGTCTGAAGATCACGGCCAGCCAATATTGATTTTCGGCGTTGTCTCTTGCATACAGAGATTCGCTGAATCTTTTAATGATATGATGTACAGTGGATGACGAAATCCCTTAGTTCTTTGCTATTTCACAAGACAAGACAATTTTGTTGGTCCTGTAGTATAGTGCTTTTTTTCTCTGATTTGTAGAGCCAGGATTTTATAAACTTCAAACACTTGTCGATATTTCCAAATGAGTGCTTCATCATCCATAAAAGCAATAAAACTTGAAGCATCCTCACTTTCTGTATCATTCTAAACTATGTTTAAAATAATAATGTACTGAAGTTTGTTGTTAGTTGCAGAGCAGCTCCTGTGCTGTACTAACTCTGATACAGCCATATTAACGTGTTGTCATTGTGATTTCATCTAAATAAACAGATACTGTTGAGTTTTTAGCCTGCAGTAAAACGGTTTAATTATTAAAGAAAAGGAGAAAAAGAGCTGGTATTCCTGTCTGATTGGGGTGTTAGTATCAATATTTTTTCAAATGCATTATTGAGAAGGAGGAAACCCACACCAGCAGGAGAACATGAATCCACATATGTTTGGAGTCATAAATTTCAAAATGGGGAGCAAAATAGTTTATTACTTAAAGTTAAGAATCCATGTTATTTAGTATGTGTTTTTGTTTTAATCAGTTAATTTTAAAAAGGTTATTAGCTAAAGATTATTACAGCAGGGGTGCCTTAGCTTCTGAATCCAAAGAGGTCTTTAGGCTTTTTTTTAGCAGCCAAATCAGCGCACATACACATCCATTTTGTTTGCACAGAATTATTCTCTTTTAGCATTTGCAACAATAGTATCACACTGCACAGCCCTGCCTGTAGCTTTGCTAAACTGCAGAAGATGAGCACAAGCTGCATTAAAACAGATGCAAACCGATGAGCCAGTTATGTGAGAGCACTTTGAAAGGGCCAGTTTTACATAAAAATGAGAAGATGGATTGTGAGCTTGTGAGAGGCAATGGATCAAAAGAGCTCTCAGAGGCCCCGAGGAGAGGGACTGTTGATTCCTCTGGCACTGAAAGGGCTTACGAAGCAGTTTACACAGTGCTAATCTGTGGTCAGACTGAACTTTATAAATTTAGATGAAATAACGTCCCACAGCAGAAAAAAGTATACCGTATTTCTATCATCTTGTAATCTGATCACCAAACTCAGCCCACAACCAAACCAAAAAATGCTGAAGGACCTCTCTGAGAACCCGTCAGATTGCACAGATGTGGTCCACAGCAGAAAAGAGGACGCCTTAGGCCTCTATGAATCCATGAAAGATGTTTGCCAGATATCCTCCAGGTGCAGGATGGATAAAACTTCTGGAACGATGATCCAAAGCTAATGTTGGCACAAACCAGAAACTTTGAATAGGCCATACTGCAAGTGAGGCATGGCACTGAGAGTATCATGACTGGTGGTTACTTTGCTGCCTCTGCACCTGATTGCTGTCATTCAATCAGTCAGGAGCACTACAGTGTACCAGAGGGAGCTGTACAATCTAAAGTCATTGAAATACAGCTACAGCAGATTATAGCTTTCATTCTGTATGTGATTGAAGGACAAATGGGTACAGTAATTGCATGAATGCCACTGATGAAATGGACTGGCATTAGCTTTTGTGTGGGGATCTATAGCAATATCACAGTATTGAATCTTGAGTGTTTTTCAACCTTCACTCTGCTCCATCTGTACATGTGGTAAATTCAGGCAATACTTTCAACTCATTTCACTCTTCTTAGAAAACAACAGAAAGGCCGTTGACTCGACATATAACAGAACCCAATCAGCAACCTTCCCGTTTCTGTAATTGGCCGTAATCTGGAGGGGGCTCCCATTTCTCCCTCTTATATTTTAAGAATAACTCAGCTAGTCATTGTTTTCCATGAAGTACTTCAACAGCAGATCTTGGGATGTAATACATCTCGGAATTTATGGGGTTAATAAATGACAGGGACTTTATTGGCTGTGGTTGTTGACCACATGCTGGAGTATTCCTTTAAAGGGGCTTACAACTATTCTAATGTGTTTAGTATGTTTTACAGTATGTTGTATATACACTCAATAATCCGATAACTGCAGAAAATCGTATTTTGTCAGTAGTCAGATCAACACGTTTACATGCACTTGGATAATCAGATAATGGGGAAACTCCAGGTCTACATGAGTCAGGCAGTAATCAGATTTGTACTTTCTAACCGGCCAATAAACTCACAGACGAAGACGTGACGTAAACATAATGTAAAACTCCTTCGTTTCGTCAAGCATGTAATCGGTATAAGCGTCGCTCCAAAAGTGCAACGCTGCTCGCTTATTTCCAGTACAGCAGTCTGTTCTGCACATGCACAGACTGAGAAATCCGAAAGAAATCAGAGTAAGAGTTTAGATGCACTGAGAAATCTGATTACTGAGCTAAAATCCAGCCTCTCTTTATTGGATTTCATAAATGGATTTCTAAACCTTACTCTGATCTCGGAATCGGAGTGTGCTGTTTACATGACCTTTTGAATAATCAGAACTGCAGAAATCCGATTATGCTCAGATTATTGAGTGCATGTAAAGGCACTCAGTATCAGTTCAATACTCTAATTTGGATGCTCAGCATATTCAGGATTCGCTCATGTTTTAGCAATTGACCTAAGACCCTTAGAGTCTGTACCAGTTTAATTGCTCAGTTCTTTGGAGTAGAATGGCCTAATGGAGTTATTGTCCAGCAGGGAGCAAATATATATCTGTAGCCAGTGCCTCTTACTCATTTTTCAAAAGCTTTACTCGAGGTAGGATGAGTGGTCATTTTCTGAGTGGTACGTTTGCCAGTGTTGGCTGGAAATGATATACATATACATGCTCACTTTTTGGCCCTTATCTTACCCAGAGTAAAACAAATGAGTCCCCTTGAGTTATACAACAAAAGGCCACCACACCGCTGTTTATGATTAAAGTACACACACTAACATTGATGTATGGAAACCAGCTCGATTTCTCTGTGCACCGTTCAGCATTTTGCCATTACTACAGTAAGTTTAATCCAGAAGAAGCAAAATCTAATGTAGGCCAAGAACAGATTTAAGACAAACTGACAAACGCTAATTGTCTGTTGCCTGACCTAACGTTGCTAGGCTAGTCTTTTTCACCTTGCATCTTTTTGATGAGTTTAGGGGGGATTAGTTCATAAATGGTGTTGAAGGTTTTATTTCATTAAATCTATACAATGTAATATGTAAAAATGAATGTAAGCTTAATGTTTATAGGCATTTTGTGCAGTATAGCTGTGCTTTCCATTCAATCTGCTACATGCTATACAGCATGCACTGGCCTTAACATCCCTAATTCCACATACCCTGAATTTCTGCCTAAGGACCAAAGCAAGTGAAAAAAAAGCAAGTGTCACATTAATATTGAACCTAGCTAACCAAACAGTGTTGGCATATTTCATAGTTCAACAGTTAAAAACAACAATAATCTGAAAATTCATTAAATACTTTCATACTTTGTGTAAGCACTACAAATTTAGCTTATATGAACGCTGAGTGATCTGAGGAAGCATTCGCTCAGTTAGGGCACACACTGGTGACTGAATCCCAGGTTAGTTTACCACATAAGGAACAAGGAAGTCAATTTGAGACGCAGCCCGAGATTCTGAGAATTTAATTTCTCAGGATTTTCGTCACTGTTGCCATGTTCTGTTTCCATGGCGAAACACATCTTCGGTTGCCATGTCAACAGAGCACTTCCACTATGATGAAATGGAACATTTTATTCTTCCATTCATAGAAAAACACAGCCTTGGCACTGGCTCTCATTCAGCCTGTTTACTCACGGACCGCATTTATACACGTTTATGTAATGACTAAATTGTGCAGCTTTTTTAATGCGTTTGCGTTCAAGATGTTCAGGAAGTGTCACTGCAGGCCTTGGTTTTCTAGAAATATTGCATGCAATAATCCATAACGTTAGTAAAGTTGCACGTTGGCTTACTGCATGTTCTGTGACTCATATTCGCAATGTCCAGCGTATTGTATGATACTGTACAGTGCGTCGTTGTTGCTGTGATATGTTTAACCCCTTAAATTCCCAGGCTTATGACACTTCTGGGCAAACTGGCTAAGCTATTCTAGATTATAGAATTGTGTAGTAAACCTTGGGCCCATTTGGTGCCAGGCTGCTAATACAGGCATTCAATTGCACACTTACAGCTTGACCAATAGAATAGGATGCTCTGGAGCAACCGCACATGACCATAAGGTCACCATGCTCTATGCTGAGCTCATGGATTACTGCTGATCCACAAGCTCTGTTCCCAGGGTATGACTGAGTTGATCATAGCATGGCTGAAATGGATCATGATGAATGGCTAAATAAAGCACAATTATTATTATTATTATTATTAATACTTTTTTATTGAGACAGTTAAAAACACTATTATACATGTGGACCAAGAGAGCACTTGGACAGTCTGAGGACAAAAGGATAGGGCCTTTGTATGCACAGGTCAGCAGTTTGACCAATAACATCTCTGAAATTATGAACTTTGCATTTTTACTGGAATGGTGGGACATGGGGTTCAGGCCCCTGGTAGACACCTCTTATCCATAGCTATGCCTTTAAGTATTTGGTGGTGCTGCATCACTTAAGAGAATTGGGGCAATGCCGGGGGGCTTTCAACCATTCTAGCAAATGTAATTACCTTCATATTGCTGAAAACAAGAAATTCAGATCTTTTAAATAGATATTTTTTTGTACTGTACTTTATGTGTCTGTTATCTACGATCCATGCCTTTCCACAGACGCTGACCAGGTGAGCAGGCAGAGCTTCCAGGACCCTCTGTCCTGCCAAAGTCGTGAAGGGTCCCAGCGGAGGGATCCCCTGTCCCGGACCCTCCTCCAGCGGGAACTGACCCCCAGTGACCCTCTGACTGATCCTCTGTCCGTGAGAGGTGACGTGGTGTCCATGTGCTCACAGGACACAGGGAACGGGTCCGAGGCCCTTCACAGAGAGGAGAGGCGCCAGACTCCGCTGCCCAGTCTGGAGATGGACATGGCCATGGATAACCAGGGTTACGACAATGAGGCCACAGACAGCTCCTCCACTTGGAGCCCTGAGGTACTGAAGTGAATATGCGAATGTGTTTGTGCAGTCATACATTATGTGTCCAAAGCTGCTGACACTCCTTTCTTATTAATGGATTTAAGGTAGATTCATTGCTGACATTGGTGTCCAATTGTGGACACACAGCGTCACAATTTCCCTAGAAAGAGCACTGGCAGACGAATAGCGAGCTATTAAGTAGCCACGCACAAAGATCACATCCAATATCAGTGTCCACAAAAGAGGTGTAAAGCCATGACTTTGGACTTTGAAGCAGTGAATCCTTTGGAGTGATAATGCAAACATTGAACACCTCTGGGACGAGTAGGAGTGCTGAAGCTCCAGTAAACATCACGGGATGAGTTGAAGTGTTGAAGCACTATTGAACACCACTGGGATCATTGGAGTGATAAAGCCCTATGGACACCACTGGGATCAGTTGAAATGATGAAGCTCTAATGAACAACACTGGGATGAGTTGGAGTGATGAAGCCCTGTTGAACACCACTGGGATCAGTGGAGTGATAAAGCACTGTTGAACACAACTGGGATCATTGAAGTGTTGAAGCACTATTGAACACCACTGGGATCATTGAAGTGTTGAAGCACTATTTACCACCACTGGAATCAGTTGGAGTAATGAAGCCCTATTGAACACCACTGGGATCAGCTGGAGTGATGAAGCACTATTAAACACAACTGGGATCAGATGGAGTGATGAAGCACTACTGAACCCCACTGGGATCAGCTGGAGTGATGAAACACTATCGAACATCACTGGGATGAGTTGGAGTAATGAAGCACTATTGAACACAGCTGGGATCAGCTGGAGTGATGAAACACTATCGAACACCACTGGGATGAGTTGGAGTGATGAAGCACTTTTGGAGCACCACTGGGATGAGTTGGAGCAATGAAGCACTACTGAACACCACTGGGATCAGTTGGAGTCATTCAGCACTATTGAACACAGCTGGGATCAGCTGGAGTGATGAAGCACTACTGAACACCACTGGGATCAGCTGGAGTAATGAAGCACTACTGAACACCACTGGGATCAGCTGGAGTGATGAAGCACTATCGAACACCACTGGGATGAGTTGGAGTGATGAAGCACTATTGAACACCACTGGGATCAGTTGGAGTGATGAAGCACTACTGAACACCACTGGGATCAGCTGGAGTGATGAAGCACTACTGAACACCACTGGGATCAGCTGGAGTGATGACACACTACTGAACACCACTGGGATCTGCTGGAGTGATGAAGCACTACTGAACACCACTGGATCAGCTGGAGTGATGAAGCACTACTGAACACCACTGGGATCAGTTGGAGTGATGACAGCACTACTGAACACCACTGGGATCAGCTGGAGTAATGAAGCACTACTGAACACCACTGGAATCAGCTGGAGTAATGAAGCACTGCTGAACACCGCTGGGATCAGCTGGAGTAATGAAGCACTACTGAACACCACTGGGATCAGCTGGAGTGATGAAGCACTTTTGGAACACCACTGGGATCAGTTGGAGTGATGAAGCTCTGTTGAACACCACTGGGATCAGCTGGAGTGATGAAGCACTACTGAACACCACTGGGATCAGCTGGAGTGATGAAGCTCTGTTGAACACCACTGGGATCAGCTGGAGTGATGACGCACTACTGAACACCACTGGGATCAGCTGGAGTGATGAAGCTCTGTTGAACACCACTGGGATCAGCTGGAGTGATGACACACTACTGAACACCACTGGGATCTGCTGGAGTGGTGACGCACTACTGAACACCACTGGGATCAGCTGGAGTAATGAAGCACTACTGAACACCACTGGGATCAGCTGGAGTGATGACGCACTACTGAACACCACTGGATCAGCTGGAGTAATGAAGCTCTACTGAACACCACTGGGATCAGTTGGAGTAATGAAGCTTCATTGAATACCTTTGGGATGAGTGCTGTTTGTGATCAGTGCTGACCTCACTAATGCTGGCTTAATTCAATCATATTCTCACAGCAATGTTCCATCATCTAGAGTAAAGCCTTTTCAGAAGAGTAGAAGCTGTTACTGCACCAAATTCCCTATTAATAATATATTGAATTCAGAAGAAATGTTGAAAGAACAGGCATCCGGACATGCAGGGTTTCCTGAGCAGAGTTTAGAAGAAGAATTAAACTGCTTCTTCTAAAGTTCTGTATAATTAAATGGTTGAGACATAAACAAAAGTCGTTCAGAGCGGTTTGATCTGAATTGAGCTGTTTTAGAGAAAGAGTCAGAATGGTTCACTAGACGTCTGAAGAGTTTAATGCCTCTAAAAGCTCCTCACAAAACAATAACACAGGAAATGAGTACAAACTCATCGCCTGATGCCTGATGCGTTGTTTTACAGTAGTTCTGCTAAAAGCTTTTGGCCTAAGGCAAATTTTGAACAGTCCATTCATGTTGGAGGACGTTGTAAGGCAACATAGTACAAAAGAAAACTATGTCTACTTTACCATCAGCATTACAATATTTTGGTTTGGTGTATTTGTGTTCCTGTATTTGTGACCCCTGGTTCCTATCAGCAGCACTGAAAAAGAAATTCTGGTTGGTAAGTTTCTCTACAGTGAACAATTTCACATCAAACCACTCTGAATGTTTACATCTCAATGATTGAATTCTATATAATCATGGACTATACTTTTTCTCTATGGAAAATCTCCATATAAAATACTGTGTAGTCCAAGACTAGGCTTACAGAACCTTTATATTTCACTTTCACTTCTAACCTAACTGCTCTGCCTGATCGCCGCTGGTCTGGGTAAAAAATAGTTACACCAATCAGGCATAACATTATGACCACCTCCTTGTTTCTACACTCATTGTCCATTTTATCAGCTCCACTTACTATATAGGTGCACTTTGTAGTTCTACAGTTACAGACTGTAGTCCATCTGTTTCTCTGCATACTTTGTTAGCCCCCTTTTACCCTGTTCTTCAGTGGTCAGGACCCCCATGGACCCTCACAGAGCAGGTACTGTTTGGGGTGCATCATTCTCAGCACTGCAGTAACACTGACGTGGTGGTGGTGTGTTAGTGTGTGTTGCGCTGGTCTGAGTGGATCAGACACAGCAGTGCTGGAGTTTTTAAACACTGTGTCCACTCACTGTCCACTCTATTACCTTGTCAGTCCACCTTGTAGATGTAAAGTCAGAGACAGCAGCACATGTGCGTCAGCATAATTTGTGTTGGTCATCCGCTAGTCCTTCATCAGTGGTCACAGGACGCTGCCCACAGGACGCTGTTGGCTGGATATTTTTGGTTGGTGGACTATTCTAAGTCCAGCAGTGACACTGAGGTGTTTAAAAACTCTGATCCACTCAGACCAGTGCAACACACACTAACACAGCAGCACCACATCAGTGTTACTGCAGTGCTGAGAATGATCCACCACCCAAATAGTACCTGCTCTGTCAGGGTCCATGGGGGTCCTGACCACTAAAGAACAGGGTAAAAGGGGGCTAACAAAGTATCAGAGAAACAGATGGACTACAGTCTGTAACTGTAGAACTACAAAGTGCACCTATATAGTAAGTGGAGCTGATAAAATGGTCAATGAGCATAGAAACAAGGAGGTGGTCATAATGTTCTGCCTGATCAGTGTATACGGTTTAACAGTTACATTAATATTAATGAATTGCCATGTATCCAGTGTCCTGGCTGAGAAATGTGTGTATTATAGCAGAGGCCAGGATGGAGAGGTGTGACAGAGTAGGAAGGTGATGATTGCATGTTTCAGTTTGTGTTTATTTGTTTGTAAGAAAATAGATATTTCAACCATCAATGTGCACCAAACTAAAAGAGCACGTTTGTTTGAAAACCAGCAGGAGCGTTCAGGCAGCAGAAGTTCTCTGTCCCGTCCTGCCACTGCCTCGCCCCGCCTCCCCATCTCCAAATGCGGCGACCTCATCGTCGTCCTTGACTACCGCCCCGATACCTTCAAGCTCCTGGTTACCGTGGTAATGGCCCAGGGCATTCCCGACAAGGCCCGGAGTGGCATGGACTCCTGGCAGGTGCACGTGGCCCTGTTGCCTGGAAAACGTCAACGCTACAAGACGGCAGTGCAACGAGGGTCAGCGCCCCGATTTGGGGAAACGTTCCGGTTCTCACGGCTGGAGCCGTCCGAGCTCAGGTCGTCTGCACTGCGCTTCCGTCTGTACGCGCTAGGCAAGATGAACAGAGACAGAATGATGGGGGAGACCATCTACAGGCTCAGCAAACTCAGCACTGACACAGGACAGATGGAGGCCACACTAGTGCTTGAACCTCGCAGCAACCTGAGGGTAGGTGTCCACTTTATTGGAAACACCAAAAGGTGATAATAAATGTCAATAATGAAATAGTGGTATTTGTACTCGTACTCTGTCCCCTTCATGAGCTCCACTTATCTGTTGTCCACAGTTAATCAGCCCCCATCTGCCCTGTTCCTCATTGGTCAGTTTCTGACCACAGCACCGCTGTTGACCAGATGTTAGGTTCTTTAAGCATTGCCTGCTGCAGGGACAACTACAGCAACCAGAAATTGGTCTACTTTTATGTCGTAGTTGCAGAAATCAAAGCCTCTAAGCAACTCGGCAGTAAAGCAGCTTCACTGTTTAACAACATGCTTGTAAAACTAACAGAAAAGTCAAGAGAATATGAAAGTTGGCTGAAAGCACAGTGTTGTTGCTGATTTTTACACGTCAGTGCCACTGCTAGGTTGAGAGTAGGTTGAGAGTGGCTCTGTGGTCAGAACACGACCATTGATGAAGGGTTAGAGGACGGCTAACAAAAACTGCATCTCAGATGGGCTACAGTCTCTAACTGTACACCAGCAAAGTGGAGCTACAATGAAAGACTTTCTAATAAAGTGGTCAGTGAGTGGAACTATGTCATGGTCTGTCTCTCACTCTCTCTCTCTCTCTCTCTCTCTTTCTAGGCTATAGACTCTCAGGTGTCTCTGAGTGCTCAGAGTGATAGTGCTTCCTCCAGTCAGTCTCTGTCTCATGGTGGAGTTCCTGAGCTGTTGCTGGGTTTGGCCTACAACGCCACTACTGGCCGCCTTTCTGTCGAGGTCATTAAAGGGAGCCACTTCCGCAACCTGGCACTCAACCGGCCCCCAGGTAACACTCATAACACTACCACTACTATTATTGCTACTAGGGGGCAGTGATGGGCTGGAGGTTAGGGAACCAGTCATGTGATCGGAAGGTCACCGGTTTGATCCCCTGAGCCGACAGTACATGATTGAAGCGCGCTTGAGCAAGGCACCTAACCCCCAACATGGTCACTGACTATGAGCCCCACATGTGAGTCCACATGCATGCTATCGTTCCAAAATTTGGAATGTTTTCAATAATATAAAACCAATTTTCTTGCAGATGATGTGCAAAATGATTTGAGTATAACACTATGTCTTCAAATTCTCAGATTTCTAATCATTTGTAGGAAGCTGTTTAAAAAATTAATCCAGATTAGGGCTGAGCGATACGGTTAACAATTAATACCTTGATTTTTTTCCTTTTGGCGATAAACGATATGTATCTAAATATTCATGCTTTCTTTCTGAAATGTCTTTATTGAGTGACTTTTTCATTCACAAAACCTGTGATTTGAACTAAACAGCCTTTTTGAAGGCAGTGAGAGCAAACAGATTATTGCCAACAGATTCAAAGTGTTTACTGCAGTAACAACTAAATACAGATAAATTGATCTATTTAAAAATAAAGTTCTGTATTTCACTGGATGAACTCAAAGACAAAGATGAGTACTAAAGTAGGTACATGATCCTCTCCCCATTGGTCTCTCAGTACATCTACTTTTATCAAGAGCAGCAGTTAGTAGTTTTGTACTTTCGCCTGAACGTGGTGTTAAACATCGACGTCCTGTGCAGAGCAGTGGTGTTATCCACCGAGCTGTCCACCTGCTATACATGTTACGTTAACACTTGATGTCTATATTTTGCTGAAGATTTTTAAGACACTGATACTCTTGAGACAAGATGGGTCAAAGCAACATGCATAACACTCGCATAACGGGGCACATAACGACATAGAAATTTATCATTCAACTGTTTGTCCCCCCAAAAATCTTGAAATATTGCATAAAACACATAAACATGTGTTGGTTTTAACAAGTTTGTCAAGGTACAGTGCATCCTAGGGTTTCAGTCACATTCATTTTTTGTTGCGGCCGCCATATTTGGGACCGAAATTCTGGCTTCGCTGCTCCGCACGAACGTAACTAGAGGTGAAAGATGGCTAAAATTCCTCTCCTTACTTTGGAAGAGAAAAAACTTTACCTCGACAAAGTTGATAAAATAGGCTGCGATCCTTATACAGTTTCCCCCGGAACTCCTGGTCCCACTTAAACTGGCGGAAAAGCTACCAAATTCATGTTTTCCTGACATTTATATTTATCTCCTCCTATTCTGGAGAGTCTCTCACAGCATTTAAAAGCACAGAAGCCCACCGGCTCTTCATGTCAGGGTGGGTAAAGGATCCCATGGTGTTGCATAAAGAGGAGGAAAAGCTCTGTCATCATAGGAGGGTAACGACATCAGCTAATTAATCCAGATGTGAACAATGCTGGCCTTTAGATAACTTTAGCTGATGTTAACAGCTGAGAGATAAACAGTCGCCCCCCTAACGGAGCTGCAGACAGCCGGTATAACTTTACTCTCTGTTTCTGGAGATTTAAATGACGTTTTAACGGAGAAACATAAATGTTAAATATCATACTGAATGTCGTGGGTCAGAAAATGACGTCGTGTTTCGACAGACATGATTTTGTAAGTTTGCTGGTGCAGTTAGTTCAGAGTTCAGCTCCTGTCCTGAAACCCCTGCACTGCATAACTGTGGTTTCCCTGGTTAAAATACCTGATATTATTAGCTAATTAATCCCTTCTTGAGCTGAACGAGGTGTGAACAGCAGAGAAACACTAAACTATACAGTGCAGCGGCTCCAAGCCTGGAGGCAAAACACTGAATTAAAGGTCTGTGTGTCTCTCATCGTTTCAGCTTCTGTCATGTCTCGCAGGTGAATCATTCACAAAGCACAGCTAATTAAAGGCATCGCTCAGCGCAGTCACTCCCTGATTTGGTCCTCAAAATGGCGATGACTATACATGGTGATAGCACACGAAACGCGAGAATAGGTCATTAATGAATAAAGTATCACATCTCACACTGGTCACACCTGAGACAGCACATAACGGGACGTGTAATCGATCACAGAGTCTGAGAGCTTTTTTCTCTTTGTGCTTATATTGAGAATCAATGAGTTACCACCGAGGAAATGAATGTACACACACACCCACACACTCATCAATACAAATATAAGAGTGTGAATTGATAGAAGAGAGAAGAGGCCACACACTCTGTCACTGAGGGAGCTGTATGAGAAACACATTAGACGGTAGACTGTAGTAGTTTTTGTGTCAGTACTACTTGGTAATTATCAGGGTTTTTGCTTGCGCTCTGATGCTGGTCGTGGCTTCAGGAGGAGACAAACATTCAGCTGAGGTACAGCAAGCGGGAAACAAAATAAACCTTAATTACAGACATTGCTTCCCCTGCCTCACAATACTCTGAGCTCTTATCATATTCATACTAACAGACCATCATTGTAGGCCTAGTAATTATTGACGTTCATAGCGTTTCACTGTGATACGCTCTTAAAAGCAGTCACTGGTTTTCACTGGTAACAGTGACTGATTTCCACAGATCTATTTCTCATTGCTACTCTGTTAGGCCTCTAACAGTAGTGACTGGTTATCATTGGTTGATCTGTCCAATGATAGGCTGATTTATTGCTTCCTTTTCTTTATATTCAATATTTAAAAATTAATTGTAAGATCCTCTATTCATTTTGGAAAATGTGTTCCCCTTTTGAGTCTTGGTTCCTCTCAAGGTATCTTCCTCTTGCTCTTAGGGAGTTTTTCCTTGCCACTGCCACCTTTGGCGATGCTCTTGGGGGCTCAGACCCTGATTTCTTTCATAAAGCTGCTTTGTGGCAATACCTGTTGTAAAAAGCTCCATATAAACAAATTTTGACTTGACTTGACTAAACATTTTCCATTCGTCTGATCTCATTAGTGATTTAAAAAAAAACTAATTCTACATTTTGGAAGAATATGAGGCAGCTAGCATTAGCAGCTAGCACCTACCACTCAGTGCAGATATCCCTGGTACCATTGTATGCAGAAGTTTGTACACCTCAAGGCAAAATGCATGTTTTGTTGATTTTTGTTGTATAAATGAACACATCCTCTACGGAGAACACACTTAAAGCTACGCTATGTAAGATTTGGGGGTTTGGAGACCCCCCTTGGTGGAATTTTGTAATTGCATATAATGTGCAGAACAACATTTTATAGTGTGGGTTGTGCTTCAGAATGCCTCCCCAAGCAGATGAATCTGATGTTTGCAAGCGCGTTAAGGAAGAACTTGGGGAAGGACTGTACTCAGCCCCAGTGTGTTAATTATCTGTTAACAGGCCAGAAATTCTTTGTTGGTTAATTTCTAATAAAGCTTTTTGCATGACAGCATGTAGTGATTATCTCAAGTGTGTAAATACATACAGGGATTTTAACCATATGAGGACATTAATTGAAAAGCTTTTAGAAAGTGTACGGGCAGTAAGTGTGAGACCAGTATGAGAAGAAATACAAATCAAATCAAATCACGTTTATTGTCACATCACATTTACACAGGTGCGAAGGTGAGTGAAAATCTTAGGTTGCGTAGCCCCCTTGTAGAACTTTAATATACAAAAAAAAAAAAATTTATATAAATTTACAACTCCATTTCCAAAAAAGTTGGGACGCTTTGCATGATGTAAATAAAAATAGAATGCAATGATCTGCAAATGACGTAAACCGTATTTTTGAAGGAAAATAGTACAAAGACAACATATCAAATGTTGAAATTGAGAAATTGTATTGTATTGTTAAATATATGCCCATTTTTATTTGATGCCAGGTATACAAGTCATATATAATATATATATATATATATATATATATATATATATATATATATATTCCAGACTATACAAGTTATGGATAGAAGATGTACAAGATGTCAATCTATTTGCAGTCTAACTTCAGATCAGAGTGAGTCCGTTTGAGGCATGGATGCAGTGTGGATTGTCCATGGAGATCATCATGATGAAGATTCAGAAGTGTAGTGACAGGCCTGTAGACCTTCTGCTGATGACGGCTCAATCAATGCTTCATTATGGTTAATTAGGCGTGCTGGTGATGGACTTTAACAAATCCATGTGATGGCTGGGGCGTCAAGGAAATACAGAACCAAACTTCTGCTCTTCTAACTAGCTCAAAAGATTAAAAAAAAAAACAACTTATTGCTACTTTTTACTGCATTTATTCTAATGTCATAAAAAACAAAGTTATTGTCCAGATAAATGGTTTTAAACAGTTTGCTTAGGTGCCTAAGACTTATGCACTGTACTGTACAAGTTCTCTCTCTTCTTCTGCCTCATAGATACATACGGCAAACTGACCCTGCTGAACTCCATGGGTCAAGAGATCTCTCGCTGTAAGACATCGGTGCGGCGTGGGCAGCCCAACCCCGTCTTCAAGGAGACCTTCGTCTTCCAGGTGGCGCTCTTCCAGCTGTCCGATGTCACCCTCATGGTTGCAGTCTACAACCGCCGCAACATGAAGCGCAAGGAGATGATTGGCTGGCTGGCGCTGGGCCAGAACAGCAGTGGTGAGGAGGAGGCGCTGCACTGGCAGGACATGAAGGAGAGCAACAACCAGCAAGTCTGCCGCTGGCACACGCTCCTGGAGGCCTAGCGGAACGAGGGACAGAGCGATGGATGGATGAAGAAAGGGTTGGAAATGGTTGGACACCTGACAGAACATGTAGGCAAAGGGACGCCCGCGGAATCTGGAAGTTCCAGATGTTTCTGATGGCCTACAAAGAACTTGTGGTGGGAAGGGAAGTTTATTTAAAGCAAGGGATCGCCCAAAGATCAAATACGAGTTTTCGTCTTATCCCAGATGTAGTCGATCAGCTAAGACATGTTGAGTGTTAGAAGATTGCTTTTCCGTGGCTGTGACACTGTTTTAATCTGACGATATATTATTCTCCTTATTATTATTTCTCTACTGGATTTTTGTCCGCTAACTGGTCCCGGTGTTTTCGAGATCTAATTGGGAATGGATGATCAGGCATAATGGTGGACCTATGCGGCCAGAAAGTTTGAGCAGCCTTCTTATGTCAACATGACCGAAGGTCACTAGCAACATCCTAGCATCCATAGCAACTGCCTAGCAACAAGCAGCTACCTGGGATATCATAGCAACTACCTACAAACACCCTTAGCAACCAGCAGAAATACCATAGTGATGAGTTAGCAACACCTTAGCAACCACCTGGATACCACTAAAGATACCATAGCAACCGGTCAGCTCAGGGGTCGGCAACATGTGGCTCCGGAGATGCATGCGGCTCTTTTACTGTCCTGCTGCGGCTCTACAGCAGAATTATATTTGTAGGTAAAAATAAAATAATCCTCCTTTACAGTAAAATAAAGCTCTGCTGATCGTTCAACACAGTTTACAATAAATGGTCTTAAACGCTGGAGTTAATGTAGAACTGCTAATTCACAAACATTCAGCCCTGAAGATTGGGATGAAGACTGGTCACCATAGCAACGCAGACAACAATCTCGCCTAGCTAATAGCTAACAAAAAGGTAAAGAGAAAGATTTAAGACGAACATCGATAATTTGGAGATGAATGGACTTATTTGTGTTTATAATCACTCCAGCTGGTTTCCTGATACGTTTAATCTGCAACGAGAAACACTAAAAAGTCATGAAGCTGAAGTCGCTTCTCGTTCGAATTTTCCCGTTCCACCTTGAAAGGTGCAGCAGTTACATCCCGCCACCTCAGGCGCCAATTAAGGTGGAATGCGAAAATTTCGAGTGACAAGCTGGTTAATGAGAAGTGACTTCAGTCTCGTAAAAAATCGAACGTTAAGAGACATTTTACTGCCAGAGATGTGAGAAATGCAGCTATAGCTGAGCTAAAGCTTAAAGCAGAGCCAAGAAAGTCTGTGTTTTATTATATTTTTTAGCCTATACTAGCACATTAGCACATACTGAGACATATTTACAGTCAAGATGGGAAAACGTTAAAAATGGACATAAAATTTTGTGACTCCCAAGTTGGTTTGATTTTCGTTGAAAGGACAAAATGGCTCTCCTTAACGTTTGCGTTGCCGACCCCTGGCTTAGCTAAACTGTCAGCCACAAGCTTCAGTTACTTGTTAGCTACATTAGCCTTGTAGCTCCATTGCAGTAAACTTCAATAAACAAACATGTCTTGGCTGATCGACTGTGTTTTTAGATTAAGGGGAAAAATTAGGCAGCAGGGCCTAAAGTGAAAGTGTAAGCCAAAGTTTAATGTGTTAGTTTGACTGCTGGCATCCGATGAAAGCGCTTGAGGCTGTTAGAGAAAATTCATTAGCTAGTATTCGCAAGTGCACCCTCTTTCTTTCTTTAATGTGTCTGTGGTGTAATTTGCACAGGAAATAATCAGAATAACACATACTTGAGTAGCTATCAGCTTCTGTAAAAACAGTTTTGCAAGAATATTGTGCTTGTTGGTTGCAAGAACCATGACACCTTGCAGCTGCATGCCCCTCACTCAGGGTGAAACAAGGTGAAATCACTGTCTTGTATGCCTGCATATTCACTTGTAGTAAATCTGCCAGGTTGAGCCAATACCACCAGAGGGCAGAAGCGAGAAGCCACGAACTCTAGCAGAGACATAAGCTAGCAAATGCTAAAACAGACAAATGTGTACAATAGGAACATTCACTGTGAAAGTGTTTGAGGAGAAACTTATTTTGCCTCAGTGCTTTTCGTATCATCCCTGTTACGTTGGAAGTGATGAAATATATTATTCCATTAAAGTTGCACTATGTACGATTGAACATGCTACGTCGCTAAAATGGGAGTGTAGTGACAGCATAGTGGCCGTCGCATGGTAGACTAGAAGTTTGGTTTCCAGTCCATTTCAGGAATGTCGACGCTATAAATCTTAAAATAACACTCTTCTAACTTTACCTTCGCCTACACTGTTAAAAAGATGGTGGTTCAAGGGTTCTTTAGTAAAGAAAATGGTTCTATATAGAACCATGAACACAAAAAAAGAAGCCTTTGCATGATAAAGGGCTCTTCGCATCATGAAAGCGTTCTTCGGATTGATGGGAAATGTGCACGAATGTGCTACAGAGCCCTTTAATCATACCAAGGGTTCTTTGAGTGTTCATAGTTCTATATAGAACCATTTTCTTCACTAAAGAACCCTTGAAGAACCATCTTTTTAGGTTTGCTAGCATCTTGTTCAAATTTTCCTGTTCCACCTTAAATGGTGCAGCAGTTACATCCTGCCGATGGTTGTTCAAGGGTTCTTTAGTAAAGAAAATGGTTCTATATAGAACTGTGAAAACAAAAAAGAAGACTTTGCATGATTAAAGGGCTCTTTGCATGTGCCACAGAACCCTTTAATCATGCCAAGGGTTCTTTGAGTGTTCATGGTTCTATTTAGAACCATAGAACCATTTTCCTCACTAAAGATCCCTTGAAGAACCATCATTTAAGTAAAAGGAAAGTTAGGAGAGTGTTATTTTCATTGATAATGGTTCTTCAGACTGATGGAGAACATGTCGTAGATGGTTCTATATATAATCTTTTTTGTCAAGGGTTCTTCTATTGTTGCAAGCTTGATACCATAACAATAGAAGAACCCTTTTGAGTGCTATATAGAACCTGCTACAACACATTCTCCATCAATCTGAAGAACCATTTAATAATGTAAACACTCTCCTAACTTTACTTTCACTTACACTCTTAAAAAAGATGGTTCTTCAAGGGTTCTTTAGTAAAGAAAATGGTCCTTTATAGAACCATGAACTATATAGAAGCCTTTGCATGATTAAAGGGTTCTTCGGGATTGATGGAAAATGTGCATGAATGTGCTATAGACGGTTCTATATAGAACAGTTCTAAACAGCACCCAAAGGGTATTTTTTTATTGTTACAAGCTTGACACGGTAACAATAGAAGAAAACTTAGGGTGCTATATAGAACCATTTTCAAAAATATTTAATGATGCAAAGAACCCTTTAGTAAGGCAAAGGCTTCGTTGAGTGTTCATGGTTCTATATAGAACCATTTTCACAAAGGTTCTATATAGAACCATGTACAACACATTCTCCATCAATCTGAAGAACGCTTTCATGATGCAAAGAACCTGCAACAATGCAAAGGCTTCTTTAGGTGTTCATGGTTCTATAAAGAACCATTTTCTTTACTAAAGAACCCTTGAACAACCATCTTTTTTCAGAGTGTACTATTGAAACCCTCTTATTAAATGTGGTGGATGATTCTGAAAAATGTGCCCGGTTCACAGATTAAACCTCTCCAGGGCTGCGCAGAACAAATGACCTCACAAAAATTTTCTTTTGCAGTTACATGTTTTCACCAGAGAGGGCGCCAAATCCCTCAAACGTACATAGTGCTGCTTTAATTATTTCATTTTACATCCTGCTTCATATTAGGCTAATACACTGTTATAAATACTCAATACAAACAGTGCTGCATATTTAGGCTAAAGTGGTAAACATCTTTTTACATATGTTGCGCTAATTTTACATATGTGGCTGCTTCTTTCCAAACGGTGCTGCCTGTAGGAAAACCAGTTATTGCTGCATATCTGATCTTGCTGCTTAGCATTACAGCTGTTAATGACGTTTCGTACCCTGTTATCACGTCTTTCACCACTTTACAGAATTTATTATATTATGAAAAGATAGATTAGCAGGACCACCATAGTGTAGGCCTATGAGAATATGACTTATCAACTTTGTGTCCGCTTTGTGTTTAAGTCTAAATCAAGACTTGACTGTAGCTGCCTTCTGCGTTTTGGATTCAACAGTGTCTACAAGAAAACAGATTGAGGAGCTTTGGTGTGGTGGTCAAGGACGTCCTTACAGACGATGAGAACCTTCCTTTTTAGCCAGGCTCCTGCTTCTTTTCCTTTGGTTTTGGGTCATAAACACGATGCTACCTTTCTTCAGTCTTCTCCGCTTGCGACCCTACAGATAACAAAGACTGTTTAAGCAAATGAAAATGAGAAGACATGTTTGTATGTGCTGAAAGGTTACGGAATGATCTTCAAAGTAGATCTGCATGGAGATCAGGTCTGTGGTGCGTTTGGATGATCCTTATCAACTCAAGTCGGAAACCAATGTGTCACTACCAACAGTTCGGCGGTCTCCAGCCAATTTATCTTGTGAACTATAGATACACCGATCAGGCAAGATATTATGACCACCTCCTTGTTTCTACGCTCATTGTCCATTTTATCAGCTCCACTTACTATATAGGTGCACTTTGTAGTTCTACAGTTACAGACTGTAGTCCATCTGTTTCTCTGCATACTTTGTTAGCCCCCTTTTGCCCTGTTCTTCAGTGGTCAGGACCCCCATGGACCCTCACAGAGCAGGTACTATTTGGGTGGTGGATCTTTCTCAGCACTGCAGTAACACTGACGTGGTGGTGGTGTGTTAGTGTGTGTTGTGCTGGTACGAGTGGATCAGACACAGCAGTGCTTCTGGAGTTTTTAAACACAGTGTCCACTCACTGTCCACTCTATTAGAAACCCCTACCTTGTCAGTCCACCTTGTAGATGTAAAGTCAGAGACGATAGCTCATCTGCTGCTGCAGAGTTTGTGTTGGTCATCCTCTAGTCCTTCATCAGTGGTCACAGGACGCTGCCCACAGGACGCTGTTGGCTGGATATTTTTGGTTGGTGGACTATTCTCAGTCCAGCAGTGACACTGAGGTGTTTAAAAACTCCAGCAGCACTGCTGTGTCTGATCCACTCAGACCAGCGCATCACGCACTAACACCACCACCACATCAGTGTTACTGCAGTGCTGAGAATGATCCACCACCCAAATAGTACCTGCTCTGTGAGGGTCCATGGGGGTCCTGACCACTGAAGAACAGGGCAAAAGGGGGCTAACAAAGTATGCAGAGAAACAGATGGACTACAGTCTGTAACTGTAGAGCTACAAAGTGCTCCTATATAGTAAGTGGAGCTGATAAAATGGACAATGAGCGTAGAAACAAGGAGGTGGACATAATATTCTGCCTGATCTGTGTATATTTGATGAGACGGACCAGTGACATCTCTCATTATCATTGGTCCAGTGACTAGGGCATACAACTGTATATACGGTCACTGGTGTCAGGCACTTGAGAGCAACTTCCTTGTATGTCTTCCAAGGTAATTCCAGACTTTATGAGTTTCCAAGGCCTGTCCAAACGCACCATTAATTCCAACCTTCTGCCACACCGGCTTCCACCAATCTATGGTTTCTGATGAGCTGGGCGAAGTGTTTATTGGGCTCTAGAGTTTTAGGTTGGAGCTGACCTTGGCAGGAAGGTGTCTGCAGGAGGAGGGTTGGTCGCCAATAGAAGTGCATG